ATTTGATCTCCCGGGGAAAAATCCTGGATTGGATTTATTTTTTTTTAAATAGGTAGTTAAAGGATAGACAGGAAACAACAAAAATGCAGAGAGGATTGTGTTTGAATTCACAAAGCATCACCAAGCTATGTGTAGTAAAACTGAGTGTGCTAGAGACCAGTTCAGTTATTCTTCCAAAAGAAGTGAATAGGAAACAGAATTCATAAATTAGACAAATCAAGGTTCAATACTTTGTTCTATGTTTCTACCTTAGTGTCAAAAATTAGTGATCTATTGATATGTCTAATGCCCTCTGATGATCATGCATTAATGTGTCTTACTCCTACGTAACCTTCTCTCCAAACTGCCAGCTTTCATACTTTTATCCAGTCTAATTTAATCATATTTAGTACACCTCTAATTACTGTACACTCTCCCTTTTTTGAATTTTTTTTTCTCTTGAAACCTATTGGCAATAACAAGCAAAAGACACTTGTTAAACCTGACTAGAGCTTTTTAGATCTTAAGTTCTTTAAGGCAGACTCTTTGTTCTTTGTCAGATCCGTTTTGGCAAAGTGTCATGCAGATTTAGAGCTGAATGCAAATAATAGATTATCCTGTTGCCTTTTCCCATTAATATTGTATCAGGTTGGCAGAGCAGCAACATTTCTGGACAAGAAGAATGTGTCACTACTTGAATTGTCTTTTATAAAAATGAATATTCCTTTACTGTTAAAAATCAGAAAGCATAAATTATATGAGATAAGGACTAAGCATTAACCATAAGAGCTAGACCAAACACGAAAACTGAATGACACTGCATTTGATGGTGTGGTCCTGGGTCACGCACTAAGAAGGCAGCATGCTAGAAAACTAACTGAAGCCTACGATAAACACTAAGAGGAGCCACTGCAGAAGACATTGGCATTTGTGAGATCTCAATTCTGTTGCCAACCTGACTGTCACACGCAATGGGCTCACAAGCCTTTTCTCCTGAATATACTGCAATGGCAGGTGCAATTTCCATCTCTCTCTTCAGACAGAGAACACCTTACCAAGGACTCTTTTGAAAAAGGTTAAATATAACTGTAAACCAAGAAAATAAATACTATCCCTCATAATCTTTTTTTAAACAAAGGTTACTCAGGCTTCCAAATTATGTGCCAGCAGATAAACTGAAAACCAGCTTAATAGCTGAACCAAAATCTCCTGAGGAAAAAGGGGTGATACTAATGATACAGGAGGGAGTTCAAGTAAATATTGCATACTTTCAATTTCACTACTTTTGTTGTTAGCAAATGACTGCTGACTTTTGATAGACTAGCACCAACAAAATAACCAGTCCTTAGAAGGCTATTTTTAAATATGCTCCAGAAAAATGTCAAAAGAAAATTAAAAAAATATCTAACATTAAAGTCAGAATCTTTTCAACATAATAGAAAGTGTTCATTTAGAAGAGAGAAGAAAAGTGGTCCTACAAGACTGAACATAAAAGTTCCCCAAAAGCATCTAAACATTATTGCACCTATATTGCTTACTATGGCAAGGAGATGTCTTACACAAAAGGCATGAAAACTGACAGCTGAAATTTATAATAGCAAACATAAACAACACAATACAAACCCCCCCCCCAGAACATTAAAACACAAAACCCAGTCAAACGGTCCTACATTTCTGTTCCCTCTAATGGCCTTATTTTGTCTGTTAAAGAAATTTTAAATTATGATGAAACGTGCCAAACTGATAATACTGGGGTCGAAAGCTCATATTTATCAATGACCTATGAAGTCTGTGCAAACCTTACATCTTCATATACTACTCTGCTGAAGTGCCTAAACCTTGAAAGTCATTTTTGGGAAGGGGTGGAATAATGGGAAATGGCAAGTGTGCTTACTCAAACACCACAGGCCCTAATGATCGCACCCCAATTTCCTCCTGGGAGCAGGCCTACTAAAAGCAACAGTGCTAGCCTGTTTGTAATGGTTCTCAAGATCAGGGCCATAGGAATTATTTAGCCTCCATCTGCTTTTTGAACTGCCAATTAGTTCATGAGTTCTTAAGGACATCAGTTGGACTTGATGATCTTAAAGGTCTTTTCCAACCTGAACTATTCTATGATCCTATGATTGCCAGCTGACTAAACAAAGACCATTTAAAAGTCACCAGAGGCAAAGCCTTTTGCTTGAATGAAGCTGAAACTACAAAGCTAATGGAGACAGTGCCTCTTGTTTCTTTGGAAACCCATGTCCCAGGCCCTCCTTATAACTGTAAGTACACTAACGTTGAAAGGAAAATGTTGCTGTGGCAGTCTTGAAAGAAAGGAGTTAGGTAAACAATGCGACTACTTTCTTGCAATTATAAAGATAATAATAAAGCTGGGAGGGACCTAAGCTATCATTAACAAATTCTTTGCCCAAGACAGGACTGAGTTCATTCATCCACATATTAAAAACCTACTTTTGTTCTTACTATGACATTATGTAGCACTACTGTTACAGATTTTGCAGAAAATTCCCAAAATAAAATGTTTTAAATCTTTTAAAGAAATCCTGGCATTTCTTTAAGTTTCCTGTAGCCTGCTGTATCACCTCCAACAGTAGAACACAAGCCATAAAAATATATATTGAGATTATATGCTAGCCATGCTTTGCTGAGTTAACTTGATGGAAATTATTAAACAAACCAAAATGGTCAACTGGAGAGACGTGTTCTGTTATCCACTAAGAGCCACTTAGCTGTGCTCTGGACGGAGAACTGAGTATGAATCCTGCTTCTGCTACTGAATAACCTTGGGAAAGTAACTCCATATCTCTTGGTCTTAGTTTTTCCATTACAAAAAGAAACTTACTTCATAAAACAATTGCAGATCTCATGGATTCTTTCCAGGGCAATAGTAATGTGGAGTAAACTACAGAATGAATTGAAAATCCACTATTATGTACACCTGTACAACGACTAGGTCCAGAGCGTGTGAGGTAGCTTACTGCCATTTGCTCCCTGGGAAAAAATGCTTGAAACAAAGACATCCTTACTGTCCACTATGGAGGCTTACAGCGGATCTCAGTTGAGAAACAAATTCCTATCTTTGGTTACTGTACATTAGCTTCCCTGAAGAGACAGAACTGCTAGTGCCTGCACAAGATTATTTAACATCAACTGCAAAAATGACAGGGTTGCAGTCCACATGGCATTTCCCCAAAGTATATTATAGCCCTAAAGGCCTCTGGGACCTTGGCTAACAGTCAGGATATCACAGCTTATCACATTGCAGCTACTCAGCTGAACCACAGCAATGGCTATTTGTATGTTCCTTTGAAACCACCCTCTAAAGTGTATTAGCTTGAATCACAGTAAGGCCTCACCTACCACAAAGCTTCACAACTGCAACAGTCTCAGAGATGAACAAAATCAGCTGGTGAGCTGCACCATGCTAACTGCAGTGACTGACTCACCTGACTGCCAGCACACTTTTCATTTGATCTCTTGCAAAGTAAGCCACAGACCTCTATTTGGTAGTTTCTACAAACATGCAGCTTCTGTTTAATCTACAGAACATCTTTTAGATTTATATCCAACCTTTTTTTAAAAGATCCATTTATGGATCTATTCAAACCATTTATGAATTCTTTGCTTCCAGGAAGTGCCTCCTATCTTCTGATCTTCCATCACCTATTTCTATAATACACTATATATTTGTATAGTACAAGCAAATTATTTTTCAACTTTAGTTAGAAAAACTAAATACATTTTAAATCCCTCATTATAAGACATTTTTCAGATCCTGAGCTACTCTTGTAGCTTTTTTGTCCCACTTTAGTTTCAGACCCTTCTCCAATTAGGAGGGAGAATCCCCTTTAAGAACTTGGAAACCAGAGCAACTCAGTCCAGGACAACTGGAAACTCACTGTGTAATGGAAGGAGTTGAGTTGTTAGAAAGAGCAAGCCTCAGACTACAACTTCTGGCATACTTTGTATATTTTATATATATATATCTCTTTGGAGTTCTGATATATCTAAATATGTCTTTCTCTCCTTTTAACTGTGTGTTAGTGATGGCCTTAATATAAATCAAAACCATGGCTGCAGTTTTATTTATTACATACAAACGAAGCAGACAAATAGCACTGGGGCTAAGGCTGCTACACTTTGTAAAAAAAGTTTTAATGCAGGCTATTTTTTGCAACAGCTAAAAAAAGTTGAGAGAAAAAATGAAGCAAAGAGCACTGGGGCTAAGGCAGCTACACTTTGTAAAAAAAGTTTTAATGCAAACTATTGTCTAATATTGTCCACATTTTGCAACAGCTAAAAAAAGTTGAGAGAAAAAAAAAGGAAATAGGTAGAAGTATCCGAGTCTGTGTGCACTTAATATTTTAAGTATCATTCATGGCCTATATGACAGTTTTCTGGTGAAACGCCTGCAGTAGAGAGGACCAAAACAGAGTAAGTTCTGAACTCTCAAGCATAAACTTGTAATTCATCTTCAGCCTTCTAATTAGCTGCATGGTATCTGCTGTGCAGGCCTCACAACATTGTACACAACACAACACAACCTTCAAATTACATTCAAAAGGTAAAATTTTACAGGTAAAGAATATTGTTTGCTGAAAGGCTTTCTGCTCATTTCTAGAAAACCTGCATGTACATGCCTTCCATGGGTGTTCTGGAATTTGAAATCATGCCTGATCATATCCTAGGTAGTAAAATGTACATAGACAACTGCCAATTTTATGAAAAAAAAAAAAAAAGATGAAGCCTCTCTTATCTACCATAGTTACTGAGAGCAATTAGGAGGTATCTATATTGCTATATCGACTGCTTGGAAAATGTCTCAAAATAAAGCAACCCCTCCCAAACACTATTTCTCAGAGAACACTCTGGTTAGGATTAGCAATTGCAAAATGCCAGTATAATTATAATTAGCTTGATATAAGCACTGAAACTAAACTCTTTTAGGGTATTCATTCAGGAGATTTCCAAACAGGTGGGAGGGAAGGAAGGAGGTAAATAACATTCTACAGTACCTCGGCTCATCATCAAACGGTACTCCACACTGCATCTGAAAACAGCTTCAGCTTGTCCTCCAGAGCAAGTCTAATGTTCTTTGGTAATGCTAGGAGCCCACCATGCTCAGGGTTACATCGGAGAGTGAACAGGATGCTCTCTGTGCTCAGGCCCAAAGATTTGCATGTGTCAGCAGTGGGTCACGCTGGACTTTTCTGTGGGGCTATTCAAACCCTCATAGCTATCACCCTGCAAGCTGAGGTCATGCAGGCCTGATCTACCTTTGCTGACAGGCAGAAAACACACTCCCATCACTCTGATTCTATCACTGTTCCTATGTAAGAGTGTAGGAAAATACAGCAGATCTTGAGATGGAGGTGGGACAGCAGACTTCACTTTCTAATTTGTCTTTCTTCCTCCTCTCAAAACCTGATCCACCATTACTACAATGTTTACACAATGTATATTTCTAAGAAAATAATGCAAATTAACATGCACAGTTTACAAAATCTCTTTGTATTCTAATTCATAGAACTATTTCCTACATATTTACCCTTAAACAGTTTTGTTTTACTATAAATTTGGCTCAATTTGGTTTGGATTCCTTTGAAAGCTTAAAAATGACACTGCATAATAGCTTTCCTCCAAATTTTGTATGATGGCAGCCCAGAATTTGTTGTAATGAAGGAAATAAATTACTAGAGTGAAAAGGACTTGACTCACTGTTGTGATTGCCACAGATAGAGTTTGTGGATAACCCAGTATTTGTTGAGTTTCAGAAGATAAAGTCTCTAAGGATACTGGAAACAAATATTGACTGTGAATTAATGAGTTCTTACAAATTAAGACTAGATAATTTTTCAAGATACTTGGGTATTTCCTATATGGTACATCCAGTAAACATCCAAGGGAAAGTACAAGCTCTGACTACAGTTTTCACTAATTGTTAAATGCTCCTGCAGTACTCTCCTGAAGTTCAGCTCCATATCTAACAAAAACTGCAATAATAAAAAAGAAAAAAACAACCTCTGGCTTAAAAGAGAATAATGAAAATGAAAGATCCCTGTTGCTCTATGTTAAAATCTCTTTATTGCCTTTGTGGGAATTAACCTTAAGAGACTATAGATGCCAGAACCTATTGCTTCTGAAATGTTATGTTCGGTGCTTTGGGGGATATTTAGCTTGTGCAAAGCAGAACCCAAAAACTCCAAACAAAGTTACAGGATAGATTAAGGCACAGAGTGATTTGCTTAGAGACATAAAGGAAATGCAAGGCTGAACCACGAGTTCAGTTCAGACCTCTGCATTGCAGCCCAGAGCATAACTTCAAATGATGATTCATCAGCTGTTTGTTTTAAAGTAACTTGTAATTTTTGTTCTATCTAAGGATAAATGAGATGCTTTTCTTAGCAATATTTATTTTTTAAAGGTCTATAATATTCCATCACTGAAAAATCTGTAACAGAACTGCATTTTTAATTTTAAAACTGTAAAAATTATGATAAAAAAGATGAGGTATCATTCAAGGCATCATCTGGATTTGAACACGTTAATGTCAAGGCAGGAACAGCTGACATTTCATGCAGTGGAGGCCAATACAGTTTCTTCATTAGCATACAGTGCTACATACTACTGCATACAGTAGTACTTTTTCTATAAAGTAAGCAATTAATTTGTAAGATCAGGCCCAGTGTTTTCAAATGGCCCAAAAAATACAAAATGGGTAACTCTGGAAAACATGCATCTGCATCACCGTGAAACTGTCCTCCATAAAGATCTACCTGCAAAGCAGCTCCTTACAAACCAAATAAAAATAAACTGTTGCTAATCAAAAGTGGATGGAAAATAGCTCCCCAAAAGACAGAAGGACAGACGAACAAAGCTGAGACAAAGACAACTTTCCACACCTCTTACAGCTCCAAAGCTGAGGTTCAGCTGAGGCTCAATCTCAAAAATTAATATTTATTCTTTGAAGGACAAGGCTATTTATTTTGAGATATACGGCTATACTGAGACAAGAGTCATGAAGTTAAAACAGACAGCTTTGTCACATCTGTGATTCCCCACCTTGATGCCCTGTAACCTAAATAAACACCGCACAAATGAAAAGAAAACCTATATATCCATAATTTTTTTTTATCTAAATACTAGTTTGCAAACCTGGTAGATATTATAACTATACAGCCATCATAACTATTGAACTACAGAAGGCAAGATACACACTGATGTTTCCAACAACCTTTCAAATTAATGGCAATGAAAAGTCTCAAACTTTATAGTGGCTTGACTTGGCAGAAATAAATACCTTATAGATATTTTGGGTTTGCAGTGTTAAACAGCTGAAGTACTCTTGGTAACTACATGTCAGTGTACCCTACAAGCCTCTCAAATTCCTCAGTGGGGTTTTTTTACAATATCTTTCATGTTTCTGCATTAAGGGCGCTACAGAATCACACAATTTCAATTGTAACTAGGTATTTGTAAGAATTCTTAAATATAAAGTTAAATTATGTTTTCTGTTTCAAGATGAGAAGGGGAATATTGACTGTAAAATAGACAGTAGGGCTAGAGCAGATAAAAGTAACCAGAGGACAAATAGTTCTATACAGTTAAATTAGAATAAAACTGGTTCCTAGATACTGCTAACAACCACCCACTTCTGCATTATCCTTCTTCACTGAAGCCCACAGAGTCATGGTATTGACAGCGCAAGTATGAGTCTACCAAGTCTTGGGAATTTTCAGATGCAGCTTTTTAAAAAAAACCAACTTTCATTAGGAGTAAGAGAAATCTTAGCTCTACTTAATACAGAGGAACCACAATTTTATTCCGTTTCATGTTATATTGTTTCCTGTATGCTAAAACGGGTTCGCTGCGATCAATCTTCCTAATACAGTTCCCCAATAAAAGACAGAAGTTACCAAATGAGGATATTAAATCATCCTGTGGAGAAGTGAGACTATTTTTAATGCCTCAAAAGTGTAACAAGAGCACACACAGCATAGAAAAGAAAAAATTCCAGGGGAAAAATTCTATTAGTTTCTAACTATCACATAAAGAATTAAAATACACGTTTGAAATCCTCAGCTCAATCTTTGTTTAACCACGTTTTAAAATTTTGTTTCACGCAGACTTGCCAGAGTGTATCCTGATATTTCTTCTTTCTGAAACGTAGCTTTTTGCTCAACTGCACTGCTTCCTAATTTTTGTCCATTTTTGCATTAAACAAAATTGATACCCTCCTGCCATCTAGTGGCTAAAAAAAACCCTAAACCAAACACCAGTGGCAGATGTTCGTTCAAAACTAACTTTCAATCTTTTTCCCCACCAACCAGTTAGCTCTTCACCACCAACGTTAACTAGTACTAGCACTTGTTCAAAGAAAAGGAAATACGTAGATGATAATTCCCCTAAACTGTGGTGCAGCCAGAAGAACCTGCCCACTGCGTGGCTTGCTCTGAGCCTTGCAGCCTCCATGGTAAAGCAGGCTCACAGACTTCTCGGAGAGAAATATGCTGTAGTGAGTAAGATTTTCACTTATTTCTACTCACTGCCCTTGCTAGATAAATCTCCAGTCACAGCCAGAGAATGGTGAATTGGAGCTGTGAAGCTACTGGAAACCGCTGGTCTTTCTGCACAGCTTTGAATTCAGTTTCTCACTGCTCTGTTCTCTTAAAATTAATGTGCTTATTTAACTATACAAGCTACTTGTTTTCCTATTGAGCTTATTATTTTAAGCAATACGAAATGAAATACAATGTGGAATCTTCAAGGACTTCCCAAAAGATGAATGCCTCAAACTGATGCATAGCCAAATTATTTGAAAAATTTCTTATTAGAAAAAAAGTGATAGAAATGCTGATTACTTCCTTCCCTTCAGGAATGATTAACTTTGAGTTGCATAATTTGATAATAGTATTAGCATATCATCTCTTATAGAATCATAGAATCATAGGTTGGAAGGGACCTAAAGGAACACCTAGTCCAACCTTTCTAGGGAAGAAGACCAACTGAGATATTAAAACATATATTTTATAAAGTTTAAAAGAAACGTTTGAAAAATGCTTGGAAAGATTTAGAAACAAATGTTTGTTGTCTGTTTTACATGATGTGATTCTGTTTAATAATATACATACACATCATAAAACATATTTGAGGAATGATAAAATGAGACAAGGTAAAGTGATTTCCTTAACAGCACATCAAAAGTCTTCTAAGACTAAAGCCTCTTCACTTCTCTCACAGATGTGTTAGCCCCATTAGACTCATATAATAAGCAGCAAAATAAAATTATGTTCTCCATATACTTTCTCTGAATTAAACTGTTCACTTGAATGTGAATGTCCAATAGTAAAAAAAAAATAAAATCAAAACCTCTCTGTAAATACAGGTCTTTGTAATAAACACCTCTGATAAAATCTCTCTAAATCCATGAAGTTCACAGCGTGAAGTAGCCATCTGCTGACATTCAATAGTATTCATAAATTTTACATGTTCATTTTTCATCTTTTGCATTTCCAATTACATTTATTTAATGTTTTCAGGAGTACAGACAAGCAGTACGTAGTTCTTGCTTCCTATACCTTTTATGAAAGTAAGCTTATGCTTCAGTGAGACTACTATGCTTTAAAATGAAAGGCTTTTAATTTTCTCTGTAAAGGGTTACATCTCTAGACTCAGTGAGGCTTCTTTGTGCTACAACCTAGATGGCACATCCAGGCTTTAAACTAACTTAAAGAGTCAGCGGGGGATTCCAATGATGCAGGAGATTAGCTGAACTGAATGCAGTAAAATAGATAATTAATGGTATATTTAATTCCCAGCACCACCAAAGGGCAATGTTCAAGATGAGGGACTATAATTGATGCTAAATGAACGTAGTGGTCTCCTGAATACCAAATAAAGCTTATGGGAGATACTACAGGTCTCCCTATAGGGAGATACTATAGATAGCTGCTTTAAGGTACAGACAAGGTACATTAAACCTATACATCATAAACCATGTCCCTGTCCAGACCATCTATGGCATTGCGGACACGGCGAAGTGACCACCAAATTCCCATTAGAAGGGTAGTATGACAGCTGATACAACAATAACAGGAACAACTTACCTTCCAATAAGTGAGAATCTGCTACTTCTGTCTGGCTTTGCATCAAATTCATCATTGCAATCTTCATCACCTCTCCCTTGAGTAGAGCAATGTTGATCTTCTGACATCTACAAATAAAAGTACAAGAATGTAAGTGTCCCTCAATGAACACTATCATTTTAGAAATACTTCTATAAATGAAACTGTTAAACCAGATATATGTGAGGTTCTTAGTCAGTTATACTGTAGATACTTCATCAAGTACGAGTGGCTATAGATTTCTGGCCCAAAATTAACATGATGTTGCACACGTTCAGCCGTCTGTATTACCTTGTGGCAGTTACCAAAAGTGACTTGTGTAACACCACTCTCAAAAATGCAGATAAGAACAACAGTAAAAGTAATTTTATGGTGAAAGATCTTCTGACTATTTCCCAGTAATTTTTTCATGGTCTGGAAAGAAGTATGTTGGGAAGAAAGCAAGGACAACTAATATAAAAATATTTGTAACTTCAGTCATCTCCAGTACTAAGACACCCAGAGAGCTCCTGTGTCTTCATGTGCCTATACACAGTCAAATGTGCATAAGAGAAAAAAAACCTGTGTTATCTTCCACGGATGGGATCTTTGGTTTTCATTTCTGTTTTGTCTATATGAATTTGATATTCTTCTCATGATTAATTAATACATGTGTACAGTTGTTAGGGAAAAAAAAGAGTTGTGAAGTGTTTCTTGGAAATTAAAAGGTATTTTCATTACATAAAGCAGCCTCTTATACAAATTGCTGTATTTCAGCCAATATTTTTTTTTTTACTCCAGTGTAAGCTTGGAACATCTTCACTCATCTGAAAAGCGACATGGGGCACTGCTAGACAACAAGGCTGAGCTGATCTAATAACTTCTTCCTGATGAAGAACTGGTCTCTCTCTCCTCTTCTTCCTCGTACTGAGTTGCCCATTCAGGAAGTTTATTTAGATCATTAACCCAGGAGAAAACCACAAGAAGAAAGGAGTCATTTTTCTGGTAGCGCAGTGACCTGCACCAGCTCAGCGTGGGGCGAGAAGCACTGTGGGGAAGGCGGCGCAGGACCCCCACCTTCGCTCACGGCGGGGTGCTCTGAGCCACCTTGTCCAACTCCAGCTCCAGGTCTCTGTAAGGAAAAGCAGCAGCGATTCCTGCCCCTTCCCCAAATTTAGCCGGATTAAACATGCTTTTATAATACATTTACTCAGCAGAGTACATGTTTACATCTGGCTTGAGAACTCCCCGGTGACCTTGCAGCAGCTCAGAGGCCGGGGGGCCGGGCCCGCGGGGGGCCGCCCCCCCCCGCCAGGATCCGGGGCACCGGCTGAAATTTCTGAGCTCCGTGAGAGTAACAGCACCTCCCCAAAGCGGGGGGCCAGGTGCGCCTTTCACAAACAAACACATTTTTTAATAATTTTCTAAATAAATGAAGACTCGAAGCTGCCCCGGGGAAGCAGCCCCACACCGAGGACGGCGCAGCCCCGGGTGGGGGAAACCAGCGCGGCCGGCTACACAGACCGCAACCCCCGCCGCCAGTACTTCTGCCCTCTCCCGCGAGCCGCTGGCGCAGCCCCGGGCAGCACCCG